CAACAACTCCTCCTTACTTCTAAACAAATTTCAAATCTCAAAAACAGTATCAAAAGAGTTAAGAAGGGTTGAGAGTTAATAATAACGTTAGGAGACAAAAACTCTGGGCTTATTATTTTAGAAAAAGATCAATACCTACAAAAGACAAAGGATTTTTTCTTAGATAATAAAATACTAAAAATTAGATCTAATCCAACCATAAGTTTTAATAATAAATTAAGAAAATTCGTTAAAATAAACAATCACAACTTAATAAATTTGGGATTACACCATATAATTCAATTACTATGAATCCCTTGGCCCCCGTTATGAAATGCCTCATAAAGCTCCATAAAAAGGAACAAGGCATACGGCCCATTATATGTAATATCAACACGCCCACAAGTAGAATAGCCATAAACTTCCTGTATCGCAAACTTAAAGATACACTTATTTATAACTTAAAGAACTCTTCAGACCTAATAGAAAAAACTAAAAATATTAAACTTTCTAACAAATCACTCCTTATATCATTTGATATAAAGAATTTGTACGCAAATATCCCTAATTCCTAAAAGTCGCTAATTATTATACAGAGATTACTACTAGAAGACAACTCAATAAATAATATAGAAGTACAAGATATTATTACTTTCATAGAAACCTTATCTGCGAATAAAACTTTTTTATCTTTGACGGGGAGTTTTTTAGAATGAAAGACGGGCTCCCAATGAGATCCCCTATATCGGGCATAATAGCCGACCTATATGTTAATCATTTTGAGAAGAAATTATTTATCAATAAACACAAATTCATCAACAAGGACATCCTTTATTATGGTAGATACGTTGATGACATATTCATCAATTTCGAAGGGAATAACGCCCAACTTGTAGCACTTTACAACATCTTCAATAGTTTATGTAAACTGGAATTTACCTCGGAACTTGAATCCCAAGGAAAATTAAATTTTTTTAGATTTGGAAATAGGAAGAGATCCCAATCATGAAGGTCTTAAATTTAATATCTTTAAATATCTTTAGAAAAACGACCTACACTGAAGTGACCATCTCTTTTAACTGTTTAGATTCATGTTTAATAGAATGCTAAATATGCCTCTAGAAGAGAAAAATATTGTAGACGAAATATATGTATAAAATACTGAAAATTGATCTAAACAATGATTTCAGTTTAGCTGATATACAAAAAATTTTCAATAGAACACAATAAAGTTTCATTAATAAACTTATATATCCAAATGTAAAGTTTATGACTCAATATCTGGCTATACCATATAATCTACTAGAAACAATAATACTAGAAACTAAATTCAATATTAAATAATAAACGTAGATTTGGTTTCTTAGAATTGAGTGGAGTGTATGAGATGTCCTGTAACAATTGTAAAGGGATCTATATAGGTCAAACGGGCAGAAATCTGAGAGTCAGAGCATGAGAGCATCTTGCTAAGGATTCATCTACTTTCTTCAAACACCTGATAGAACATGAACACTCTGCAGACATTGAAAACATTAGACTACTAAAACAGGTTAACAAATCCATGGAACTTGACCTATATGAAGAATTTTTTATACATTCCAACAAGTATAATACCAAAAAACCACTATTGAATGACATCACCGGATTTTTTAACAACAGGTATTTTTTAAAATACATCAAAAATTAGATTAAATTCTAAAAAGTTTCCCTTTTCCAAATAATAAATCTGTACACTTTATTTATTATTATTTCAGTAAGTTTTAAATTAAAATCTGTAATTGTTCTATGAATAATTTACAGTTTTCTTCGTTGCCTTTTATGTTATTTCCTCTCTTACGTCTACTTGACCTTCAAAATTTCAAATTTTCAATGTCACGGTCATTTTATACAAGTTGCTGATATAGCGTTGTTTTTATTAATTTTAATTTCAATTTTGAGTGGTATAATTTTTTCATAAATTCAGTGTACAATATTATTAGATCCAGTTTTCCATATCTTTTAATTTAATAAACATTCTATTGGTTATTTTCTTAAAGACCACGCCAAGTAAGGTAGATAGGTTATACTCTATTTTATTTTGTATAATTTTATATAACATCGCTTCTCTCTTTTATATAGAATTTAATAATTATTGCCTAGGACGAATGAATTTATGGTTAGTAAAGACTTATTCCTATGAATTTTACCTCTTAACATACCTTGACGGTAAATTTTTAACACCTTAATTGTTAATTTTTGTGCCTGAGGACGATTTTATAATAGAAATACACCTCGTTGTAGAGCACTGATTTCATATAATATAATTTTCATCTAAACTACCTGCATTTTTATTTGATCTAATATTGATTGAGATGACCATGGAGAGAACACTTGCTTTCATTCAAAGAAGTTATATGGCAACCTCCACCAAGTGGTTAGAAAGCCACCGACAACAGACATTAGCTTACATACTTTAAGTACTAAAACTTAAAACACTCAGCAAAATTTTTAATCAATCCGTAAGCTGTCAGCATATGAAGAGACCGATTGTTCATTGTGGCAGACAAATAAGAAGATCAAGAAACCTGTTACCTCTGTTCCTCCTATTGAAAATAACAATCGACCATGGGCCAGCGATAATAAGCAAAAGTAACATTGTTTGCTGAACATTTGGCTGAGATCTTTATTTCCAACCCAACCCAAAATAGTTAACAAATTATCAATATTGAAAATGAAACAACAGAAAATATCATACCAGTTACTTCTGCCTGGATACGGTATAGTCATGCTGACCTACCTCTTCAACACAGCTCTTGGATTAAAACATATACCGGCATGTGGGAAAGTTATTACGTTGTCAAAGTCAAGAAAACAACTTAACGATATTAAACCTTACAGATCGAATTCACTGTCTTCGTTCACTATCTTGAAAAGGACCCACCGCCTCTAAACATAAATGGCGCCATTGTAACATATGAGAACAATACTCCAGGTACCTAGATATGACTCTGGACACCAAACTTAGGTGGAAACTGCATGTAAAGAAGAAACTAGCGTAATTAGCTTTAAAATAGATATAGCGCAATTGGTAGATTGAGAGGAACTTCAAACTTTCAATCTTCAACAAAGTACTGATTTACAATCAGACTCTGAAACCAATATGACATTAGAGTATCCAACTGTGGGGCTGTGCCAGTTACAGTAGTGCTGAAAAGACCTTTCTGGCTGTGTTAGTAAGCAATACCTGTGATATTCGAGTGAAAACAACCTAATGAGGATCCAGTACAATGCAATTTTTTTAAGGAAATATTCCGTGGACTGTTAATATTTCTTAAAGACGATTCCGTAGAATATTCGCTTGTCTAATTGAACCCCAGCAAAATTTTTCTTCTGTGAGGTTAACTCAAAGGCAAGGTATAACTCTAACAACTTAAAGAACCTAAAAAAGCAACTCACGCTGAATTTCGCTGTATATTTCAAACAATGCAGAAAAGAGTAATTCAAAATTACAAATTTGGATACCACGAGTTTAAAGGAACGAAAATGAAATAAATAAAATTATGTGACAATATAATTAATTCGATTTTTATTAGAAACTTCTTTTCATGAAGCTAGACATTAATAATCTAATTGGTCACTTAATAATACATTTGAATACATTTTCCATAACAAAATCATTTTCTTTCTATGGACAATTGAAAACGGCTAACGAGGCGACGATGATGATCATGTACGCAAAACGCGAAGGCAATGCTCACACATTCACAAAGCGACACATAACTTTCACCTGTCCTTGACGTATCCTTACTTTCTCTAATCGGTATAGGACACAATCGCGTTAACCTTCTCGCAGGTCTCATCGCTAAAGGAATTCTTTCCCCACCACAAAACTCTCAGATTCGACTCGAGTCAATCATTAACATAAATTCGGAAGAAAGTCTTCTCACTAAATAAAAACCGGAAAGCAGTGGAAGGTGAAGTGGTATTCTATTTAGCAGGTCGATGACACACTCTTAAAAGAATTTCATGAGAGATGATTAAATCAGTGCATTATAATTCTTTTTTAAATCTCATCTCGTCTCAATTTTAATGTATAACGATGAGTGAAAGTTTGTACAAAGAGTTAATAGACTAATTATTTATATTAAAAAAAAGTAAAACTTACACAATCACTATACTCCTTCTTTAAAATAAGAGAAAAATAATTATCGTTACGAATTGTGAACATGACTTGGAATAGTTTAATAATAAACAATAGTAATTGCAACACACCTACTGTTTAGTGTAATTTTCCTTCTTGCGAAATAACCATAATTGGTTTGATGACACGACTTTAATCTCCATTCTCCATTAACTAAGCTGTGCTTAGTTTTATTCTTTTTATTACTATTAAGACGTAAACTCTTACGTAAGACTCGTTTAAAAAATTGCAATTACCTGGTTATTTGTAAGTATATAGAGATAGAGCAACTATGAACTTTCACAACAGACTTTAAAAGCTTCGGTGAAGGTATCTTATGATTTATGGTGTTAATCAACACGTTTAAAGGTGAATTAAGGAAATAAAATAGAAATAATTGTTTTGAAGGAAATATTTTTATTTATTTTTAATTAAAAACGTGCTTAAAAAAATCAAATCTTTTAGCAAGGTAAATTTAATCTTGATTTATATCCCTTCGAATAAGGACTTGTTGTCTACAACATAGATTTATGTGGTAATATATTTTGAAAGTGTGTGTATTCTATTGAGGACACACAGAAAATGTAAGCACTCGTCTTCTGCGTCGTTGCATTACGTAAATGTACTTACTTTAATGGCAAACCAGTTCTACCGACATACTAAAATGTTTTGGATTGCATCAATTTAAAATTCAGTTTTTTTATGCACACACCACAAATGATGTGTTTATTTAGGTCCTCAGTTGCATAACACAACCGAGATATTGCAAGTTCTTCGAATGCCATTGGTATATTTAGAAAAGGTTCAAAAAAATTTTTATTAATGTATAATTTTCATTATTTTTTTGAATAAATAAAGTGTATATGGTTAGTTTTTGTATTGTTAATATTTTGGACGAACCACTGGCGTTTCAGGACATCTGCAATCGTATTGTTCTAAAACGGCCCTAAATGGATGTTTGAAACCGGCATCGTTAAACGATTGTTCAATTATATCCTTAACTTTCTGTTTGTAATCTTCCTCTTCTTTTCTTCCGAGTTCCAACATTCTTTCAAGTTCTGCGTTTTCACGTTCCTATAAAAAAAAAACGTTTCAATAAGAAAAAAAATTTATTATATGAAGAAGAGAATTTTGATGTGAATGAAGATGACATATAGGACAAGGATATGGAGAATATCGAGGAACAGCAAAGTTTGCATGAACTAAATAGTAACTGAGATTCCTGTGATGATGAATCACTTCGACGTCTATCCAGTTCGATGAATATTTCTGCAGGTAGGCCAATAAATTTAACTCATTTTAGACCCGTATATGTTGCATCAACACCAAGTGTAGTGAACATCTCAGAAGACAACCGGAGGGTTAATGTCAAAAAGCCAATACAACATTTTAAGCGGTATTGGAATGCTTAATTCTTTGTAAACATGGCTTTATGTACAAATGTCGCTGCAGAAATTCAATATATTTTGGATGTAGCATGATTGTTGGACTGTTGAAGATGTGTACAAAACGCAACTGGAGAAATTAAGCCAAAAGAAATGGTTTTCGGTGGAATTGGCTTTGTACCTGACACTTGAAAAGGATTGTTGGACCGTCGCAAGAGGACTGCCATTTTAACTATAAGAATGGTAAATCAGTGAAAGCCAAAACAGATTATTGAAAAACTAATTTTGCGATGTTGTAACTTTGTTCCTTTTTGCTATATAAATGTGAAATTTTGCTCGCATGTTCATCTTATTGTTACTAAAGACTCTTCTAAAATCCAATGGATTGCTTGTGCGTGTTCAGGTAATGGTGTTCGACGTGCGACGTAGACCAAGCCACGATTTTGAGGCTAAGCCAAGCTGGGGTGACTCAGAAGGAGATCGGATAAATCACCGGAGTTTCCTGTAGAGGCCTTCAATGTACAATCCATCGTTATCAGGAGACCGGCAGCATCGAGGATCGTCCCAGAAGTGGATCACCAAAGACTGTCGTGACTCCCACCATGAACTAGCGTGTTTGAGACATTCTGGCGTTGGTACGCCAGAATTCCGAGAAGAGTGTCAGAAAAATGGCTAAGGAGCTGAATATCAGCCGTTAATCTGTGCAAAGATCGTTCAAAGAAGTTGAACATCGTTTGGAGCTTCGTAACATCAAGATGCAAAAGACTCACACTTTGACGTAATAGATGAAGGCCACTCGTCTTCAGAGATGCAGCGAACTTCTGAAATGCTTCTCACCGGAGAAGATTAAAGACATTCTTACATTATTCACGATTGAGCAAACATTCCATCGCCAAAATGACAGAATTTCCCGAAAGGGTGATGCCGCTCAAGTCATGGTTTGGGCCAAAGTGACTTCGATCGGGAAAATACCGCTGATTTTTATGGATCACGGGGTCAAGATCAACTCCCAGAACTACCTTGATGAGGTTCTGATGAAGGAAGTGCTTCCTTGGAGCCAGTGTTACTTCAACGGATACCCCTGTACATTTCAACAGCACTCAGCGCCCACACACAAAGGTAATTCAGTTCAACAGTGGTCTCGAACCAATTCTCCAGCCATGATTACCTCCAAGGAGTGCTCCTCTACTCGCTAGATTTGAACTCCTTCGACTTTTCCATGTGGTTAGTCCTTGAGAGCAAGGCCTGTGCACACAACTGTACTATTCAAGTGCGGCATTCAGAAGGCATGAGACGATCTCGACGTCGAGTACATATCCGTAAGGATGGTTGTGATCCCCAAGCGTCTGCAAACTTGTGTGAAGACGAAGAGTAGACATTTCGACCTTTGATTGTACATTGGTGTTTATATAAATGTTTGAATAAATTTTATGCCAAATTTCATGTCGGTATGTGCTTCTGTCTGTTTTCATCAACAGAAACACTGTGCTACCGGACTTTTGTGACACACTGTATTGCATATGATGATAAAGAAGAGGTTGTTGTAAAGTGGTTTGATACCAAACCAATCTTTGTAGCAACCCAGCCCAGAACGCTATGCTTAAATTGAAATGAAGAATTAAAGAATCATTAAACACATTGTTTCATTCTCAAAAAAATGAAGACATAATGAAAATATATAAGGTTATAACAGTCTGTAATGCAGCTTTACAGTGACTGTAAAAGAAATTAAATGCAATAAGATAATACAGAAATGTAAAATTTGTCGAGAAATTATTGCAACAAGACACACCTAAATGTATTAAGTCTCACCTAACAGCTAGCTACAATAAGCTGCAAAATCTTCAGTCAATATGTTGTCACTAAGAAAAATATCATCCTGCACATTAGAAGGGATGGGCAATAATTAAGCAACTCCAAAACATAAGAGATGATAAAAATAAATAAATAATAAATAAAAACAAATAAAATAGCAAGACTTGTTACTCAGAATGAGTCTAACAACCCTCAAAACCCTGAAAAACAGACAGTCAAGCTGCAGTCAATAATTTATCTGAAACAATTAATTAATAACATGCTAGTACAAATAGTGCAAATGTTATAAGACCAAGACCTGCGGCTCAACGAAATTGAGGGCAGAATCAAAGTTTTTGGCAAGAAAAAATGGATTAATGGAATGAAATCCAAATGTACTGCTGCAACATAAACAGCAAGAAATCCTGTGCTTGAAAAATGTTGAAGTGTGTATTGTATCAGAAATTCATCTTACTTTTGTCAAATCTAAAAATTATTCAACCTACCACGCAGTTCACCCGGCCAACATAGCTCGCGGAGGCAGTGCAATGATTATTAAAACTAATATTTTGTAGAAGGAAATTATGTGATCTCTGACATCCAAGTTACAATTTTGACAATAGAGACAGCTACACAAAAACTCAAAGTATGTGCAATTTACCTAGATACAACATCTACAAAGATGAGTACATTACATTCTATAATAAATTACGCAATCGCGTCATTGTTGGAGGAGACTCAACGCTAAGCATACCTATTGAGGTCCAGGGTCGTTACCACTAAGGGACTTGAATTATACAAAGCTGCCCCTAGATGTGTTAAATACAATTATATTCAAATTGAAGATGGGTAGCGATATGATTAGCGATAAAATAATTATGAAAGATCAAAACCCAGCTCTGATCGACAAACATACAAATTGGGATTATTTCAATTACCTATAGAAAATGAGTGCCATCTAGAAGGCTGCATGGAATAATACACCCATTATTATGCGTAGACTGAAAGGCCTATATTTCCCAAAAGAAATTAGAGAGCTAATAGCTGAAAAGCGTAAACTTAGGTTAAGATGGCATCAATGGAGATGCCTTCAGGATAAAGCTCTGCTGCACAGAACCACCCAACCGCTATACATGAAAATAAAAAATATCAGACAAGCATCAATCAGCAAGTTCGTCACAGAACTACTACAGATAGTAGCACTAAACATTCACTTTGGAACGCTACTAAATATCTTAAGTGATCACTAACAGAAAAGCCGATTGAGCTTGTAACAATTTGAATAAAGCAAATACTTTTGCAGACCATCTTGAAACGAGAATCCATCCTAATGAAGGTGTTGATGAATTGCCGTGTCTCAACTCCGGTGACTGCTTTGATGGAATCCCTCTAGTTACTCCTAAGAAAGTTGCTGAAGGCGTTAAAAACAAGGATAATGTGAAAAAAGCACTGGGATTTGACCTAGTAATGGGTGAAATTCTGAAAAGATTCGAAAGAAAGACTCTGGTCAAACTAACTATTGTGGCCATTATTTGGATATGGCTAAACTAGGTAGACGCTTAGAAAACGGCCGAAGTCATAATGATTCCAAACGCCGGCAAGAACCTAAGCGTTATGGAATTATATCGAACCATTTCAGTATTGCCAAATATGTCAAAGTTGTTTGAGAAATTGATCTTGTTGATCTGATTTACATTTAAGATGTTCCAACAACATTGTACAGCCAATGGGTCCCGTGATAGTGGGAGAGGCTGCAATCTGCTCACAATTTGGTCACAACTTTGAGCTACCAATCTCCAACAACCACTGTGAAGTTATGGAATCCAGCTATGGGGATGCGGTAGAGAGTCCAACATCTAGGTGATCCAACGTTTCCAGAATAAGGTGCTAAGGTGTATATTGAATACGCAGAGATCCATATGGTCCAGACTTCTTAGTGTGCGGAATATTAATAAATTGTCTTTAATTACATTATCATTTAGTAGAAACTCTAGTGCACCATTACATCTCCCTGAGCTCATTTTCCGTACCCTTGGGAGTGTGAAACCACACGTTGAGAAACGCTGACTTAAGATACGATATTTAAACTCATAATTTTTACGTAAACATAATAAACAATTTGTTGAGAAAAGATTTGCCTAAACATTATGCAACCAACACGATTCAATAATCTAAAAATGAGTTTATGGTTGCCTACCTTCAATAATTTATTATAATTAATTTGCTTCTCCAAATCTTCCTTATATTTTTGTTTAACGCAAAACTGATTCCTTTTATACTCCTCTATAAGCTTATTATTAGTGTCAATGCAAAGTTTCATGAGTTCATTAGCCGCCTCTTGTTCTTTAAGTTCTTCCTGCGCCTTCTTAAGTTTATATGCTCTTTGTTCCGCGATTCCTTTTATGGTATCCTAAAATTAAAATACTACAACAACGAAATTACCAAAGAATAAATTTACCTCTAATAATTTTTGTTTCGCTTGTATAACTTTACATCTCGCATCATCCTCTTTCTTTTGTGCTGCCAAACTAAATTCTTTCAAAAGTTGACCTAATCTTTCTTCTTCGATTTTGTCATTAACTTTAAGTTGTTTCAAATATTCGCTGTACATTTTGAGTTCTCTATTTGCAACGGATTTTGTATTTTTGATTCCCGATCTTTCCTTCTCGTATTGTTCCTGAGCTAATTTCGTGTAAGCCATTTCTAATTCCTCTTCCGCTTTGGCTCTTTCGGCAAGAAGTTGCCGTTGGAATTCAATTTGTTTTCGTAGTTCTTCCGCGTTTTCTTTGCTCTTTTTACGCGCATCATTAGACTCTTAAAATTAAATTATTAATAAAAAAATGGTAATTATAAAAATAAATACTTTGTAATTCTTGTTCTTTTAATTCCGCAATCATTCGTTCTAATTCAATTCGATCTTCTTCTTTCAATCGCTTCGCTTCTTCTCGAGCTTGTATATTCCCTTTAATTTGTTTTTCGAGATCTTCTCGTTGTTGGACTTGTTTTAAGTGGAGATCGATTTCTTCTTGTTCTTCTCGTTGCATCTAAAAATTATTATTTGTTAATTTGTGTGTATATGAGGTTTGAAGGTTATTACCCTACAAAATAATTCCTTTTGCATCATTTGATACCACATCCCATCGAGTTCCTTATCAGCTTGTCTTCTAGCTTCATTTTCACGCATTTGTTGTAATTGAATTATTTTTGATTCTTTAAGACGTTTTTCGGCCATTATTGGGCGTAATTCTTCACAGCGATCTCTAAAAATTAGATTTTATGTTCTCGTGTTAAAAATAAAAATTATTTCGTACGCGTATTGTTGAAGTCTCTTTTGCTCAACCAATTTTAATCGTTCGGTTTCTCTTTCGCTTCGTAACCGTGCAATTTTCTCTTTTATTTCGTTCAACTTAAGTGTTTTTCCTTTTTGTAAGTTATCAATGGTTTCGTAATAAAAATCGCGTTCGTCTTCAGCCATTAATTTCCTCATTCGCTCCCGTTTTCTTTCGATTTCGTCATCGTATGCATTCATTTTTTCTTGAAGTCGTAAATTTAAGTTTCTTTTAAATCTTGAAGAACCAGTGTGGGTTTCCCATGTTACTAAATAATTTTCTTTGGCTACTTTTTTGGCTTCTTTCTCAATGCCCGAATTGTAAAGAGAATCGTTGCGTTGGTGATATTGTCGTATTCGCGTTGAATAATTTGAATCGGGAGGTCGAGCAACCTTAAAGTTAACTTAATAAAATTAGTTTTAATAATTTATAAATCATTTTTACGTGTCCAAAAGTCCCTGGTTCAACTCCTGGCATAAGAATGTCTTGAAAGTCCGCTCTTTTTTTCGGCCTTTTCTCCGGAAGCTTTGGTTTTTCTAAAGCACCACCAAACATTTTCGTTTCTTGTGTTTACTACAAGAACTCAAACACTGTATTGAAACTAAATTGACAAAACTATGAATCAGATTGACTTGTTAGTTGGGGTATTGCCATGGATACAACGTGAAAGGGGTTTCTTTTAAAAAAGAATATATTATAAAGATATGGTGTTAAAAATCAATAAATATCCGAGTAAATCGAATTTATTCTTTGTAATTAATGTGGTAATTACTACCGTGTTGATAGGTAATGAAAAGTCTGGATGTATACCACCACAAGGGAAATTAAAACAGCTTGTTGGACATCGCCTGATCAATAACAAGTTTATTAGTGAAAATGATAATCTCTCAATTACGTTGAATTTATTTCGGGGGAATTAAAAATAAATTAATTCAAAGAAAAATGGACTAAATAAGTTATTAATTATATAATTTTGTAATTACTTAGAAAAAGTTATTAAACAGTTATTTAAAAAACGTCACATCAATTGATCGGAGTCTAGTGTTACTGTTCCCACGAGTTTGCATACATAATTTTAGTTTACGAATCAATAATTTCGTTGTCAAGCGAAATTGATGTAAATATGGTATAAACTAGGGGCTATATTGTGTGTAACATATTTTATATATATTGCATTACATGTGATTCCGGTAATTATTTTTAATAATTTATCTCAATTAAATTTTAAAATTATATTGATGGTTAAATATTAATAGATAATTTATTGTTGAAAATGTCCATTTTTAAGATGAAGAATTCACATTTTTCGACGGTCTAATATTTTAGAATGAGCGACAATAATTTAGAGCAAGTCTAAGTTTACTACAATGCTTCTTTCACATATATCAAATGATTTTATCACAATAAACCCTTATTAACAATGATGTCTAAGAAACGACAAATAGCAGACACAAAATTGAAGTTAATATTCAAAACGAAAATCAAATGAGGAGAGAAGGAAAAACAACACAGAATTTGACAGTACAATTGAATAAGTGAAGAACTTGAAAATCAGAAAAATGTGTCTTATGAAATAACCACTAAATAAATGATGAGGATAACAAATATGAGACAGAAGTGGAGGGTGATTATGTCACCACGAAATCTGAAGATTAAGAAATCGAGCAAGAAGAAATCGAGCAAGAAGAATACGATGATAGATTATGATATTGAATTTGTTAAATGGATGGCAGAGAGTAAAAAACGAGACCTGAGATAATAATTCATCTACCAGGTGTAAAACAATGTTTGCCAAATATCAGGAATCCTTTATAAAGTGTAAAATTCCTTTTCATTGCTCTCTCACATATTAGGATGTAACACAAGCAATGATAGGATTTTTATGCATCACTGGAATCCAAATATTTGAAAGACAGAACTTTTTGACATTACAATTTTTATAGTAACTGTTTTTATAGGATCTTACTGTAGTGTTATGTTTACAATAATGATGGAAATAGCTCTTACAGCTCTGTTTACAATATGAGAGCTTGTAAACCGACTCCACGTGCTTCCTCTACAAACTACGATTAGTACAGAAGCTGGAGCGAGATATTACTGGCATGGCAGAAGAAACCTACGAGGAACTAAAAGACAAAAGACTAACACAGAAGCATTAGGTATGAAAAGGAATGCTACACCAAGAAATGACTGGTGGACAGATAAAAAGAAATTGTACCTTAAATGGCTAGACACAACCGATGCAGATGATCGCACACAATATAATAGATATAGATACACAGCCAAAATAGAAATAAAAAAACTAAAAAATGAAGCATGAAACACAAAATGTGCAAACATAAACTCTAGAAAGGAAGGTCGAAAGCTAGGGAAGCCCGGAATGCTATCATTAATCTAAGAAAAAACACAAGCGAGAAGAAAAAATAAATTCCATAAACACAGAAATAAAATATAATAATGCCGAATCAATGCCTTCTTTATCTACAGTTAAAGTGTACGCAAACAAATAAAACGACGTCATTTGTTAAATTGTTAGTTCAGGAAATTGAAGCCTGAAGAATTAGTTCTAAGTCGTTTTGAACCTAGTTGGTATGAATTGTTTGTGCTTTGTGTGTAAAACATAATCTTCAATAAATTGGATGATCAACCCTTGTGTATTACTGGGTTCCACCAGGTATTTTCTGATCTCACTTTGAGTTTGTTCTTGTCTAAAACAGATGAATGTGATCATCAAATAAAAAACAAGAAGAAAGAACATCTTAATATTTAAAACCTGAACATCTTAAATCAAGGGAAGTAAGTAAGGAAGTAAAGTAAGTGCTCTTAAAATACAACGTTTTCATCAATTTATCTTGAAGTTGCTTTCCATTTTTCTATTTCTTGGCAAAATTGTAGATGATTGTATTACTACACTAATCTTTTGACATAATCACAAGTTCTTTAGTCCAACAGATTTAAATCAGAAAATCTCGGAGACTATGTAATATGACTACCTAGCTATTTCCAGTTCTAGAGAACTCATTGCAAATTTCCCAGGAGATGTGTAACCGCTTGTAGGATTGAATAGCGCAAGGATTTACTGAGCAAAGAATCTATTTATAATCTCATTGCATCTTTCACAGAAACCACGATATGAAGTGAATTGGATAAACTTCGATATTGTTCAGAACGTTCACCATCTTGCCCATATTCGTGGTCAATATTTCCGGTAGACCTTACACTTACTTTTTTAAAAACTTGGCAATAGTTGCTAAATTCCCCGGAGTAATGGTAGTTCAGGGTCATACAAGAAAATTCCTACCACTGCATCTTTAGCTTCATACTAAAAATGTCTGTTACTTCCGAGTTACGAGCAAGGGTAAAAGGAACGATCGTCAAGTAGCCTAATAAATATCTAAAAGTAGCAGATTTGACATGTTAAATTTATTATTGTTGTTTATGGATATCGATGTTATTGCCCCAGTTAACAATACAAAACATAAACCAAATACAACACCTTGGAGGATTTGAATCAATGTTGGATATGTCTTTGGATACCTTGGTCATGGGTGATTTTGATGTTCTGTTACACGACGCTGCGAATGATGAGCGAGCCACTACTCTTTCCAATTTTCTTAGTTATATATGACTTTCTGCGATTAACTAATGTAATGAATATCATTGATTCGGTACTTGCTTCCTCAAATTTGACTCTTGAAATTACACACTTAGACTTTACATTTTCGCGAGAAGACAATTACAACCCGGCATTACTAGTTTCTATTGCGGTAACGGTGCCAGCACATTTGATAACTCGAGATTTATACTGACACGGTACTGCTTCAAAAGAGCTTATCTGTCTGACTTATACGATGCACTGCTGAACATCGATTGGACTTATTTACGTTTATTAACGTTATCATCGGTTGAACAATCCTGTAATGTTTTTTATGAACCATTACACAGCGTTCTGGATGCTCACGTATCTAAATTTAATTTAGATTAATTTAGTCCTGTATGGTACTGATCTAAAAAGAGTGCTTAGATTAAAAAAGCACCACCACAAATTGTCGACTCCGTCGGGATTGTAAATCAACAGGATCCTCGAGTATATGTCAAATCTTTAGAAAGGAACATAAAAAAAGGACCAACGAACTTTTGGCGTAAACAAAGTGAGATCTCCAGCCTCTCTCAAGAGGGCCGGTGAAACTGTGTCTGATGTTCCAAGAATAGTTAACTTGTTTATCGATTATTTCGAGACTATGAGTTGTTCGTTTTCGTTTATCAATAGAGCCGTTAAGGTCAATCGATTAGAAAGACCATTGTTCAAAAAATCGATAATTTAAATTAAATTAGGCGGATTAGTAACGTTTTCACGTTCGAATATTGTTTAATTTTTGCAATAATTAATGTAAAAGTTTAACATTCCCCACCCCCGACTCCAGATGACGTTTTTTCTTCTGTTTTCTTCTAGCGCATAAGATTCGTAGCATTGTCTATCTCCAGGAATTTTATTGATTTGTATACGTTCCAATCGTACGTTCAAATCTGAGTGACGTAGTTTGGAGCTCCAATCGTACGCTCAAATCTGAGTGACGTACTTTGGAGTTCGCGCCCTGTAATTTCAAACTTTATTATTTTTGTTTGGAAAAACTAAGCCTCAAAATCAAAAATTAAAAAATATAGGGTCAATCAATTTTTAAAAACTTTCGAATAAGCCAATAAAAAAAAATACTTAACGGCCCTATTGAACGTACTGGTAACGATCACGCTGTTTATGATATTAATTCTGTCACCTTCGGTATCTCCGGAGTCAGTTACAACGAAATGATTGAATCTTTCAAAAAGTTCAAGGCAAACGCTACAACGGACACAGATAGCATTCCTACATTTTTAGTCAAGGACTGTAATGTTCAAAAACTCTGAATTTCCAAAGAGATGGAAATTGAGCAGGATTTGCTTAGTTTTCAAGAATCATTGTCATCATCAATATCTTTGCAAAGCTATTTGAACAAATTGTAGCATCCAAAATTGAATTCTACACTAAGGCGCGATTGTGGAAATGTCAGCATGGTTTCCACAGAGGTAAATCTGCTACCACTAATCTACTAGGTTTTGCTCAAGATATATGTACGCACTAGACTGTAGTGGACAGGTTGACGTACGTAATATACACTGATTTCTCACGGGTATTTGACTGTTTGGGTCTTTCGTTGTTGACTATGAAACTGAAGAAATTTGGGAGCGTTTCCTTTCTTATACATCTCCTTACGTCTTATGTGTCTAATCGCAGACAGTACTTTAAACTGGGTGGTGTTAAATCTAGGTATATAAACGTAACTAGTGGCGTACCTCAAGGTTGCATTTGGGCCCTCTAGTATTTAATGTCTTTGTGAACGATTTGCTTGCGTGCTTCACTACAGATGCGCTACTTTACGCAGATGATCTCAAATTATTTGCCACTATAGCTATAACACTATAAGCCCTGGATAGGCTTTCTTTATGGTATACTGACAACAGAATGATCCTAAATACATCCAAGTGTCAGGTGATGACGTACAGCCAGAAAAGGAACATTTGAATATTCGTTTACTTTAACGATAGGATTGGAACGGATCATCTATCGAGAAATTTCACTATGAATGACCTCGGGATATGGTTTGATGCAGGTTTGTCTTTTACCGAACATATTAACAAAGTATCGGCTAGTGCCTTTAAAACATTGGGCATTCTATTAGAAATAGTTTAGATTTTGCAGATATCAAAACAGTACTTACTCTTTACTTTACGCTCGTGCGAAGCAAACTTGAATACTGCTGTAACGTTTGATCTCCAACTTTTTTAACACACATCGCCACCATAGAAAAAAAACAACATAAATTCATTAATAAATCTCATTAACAAATTGATGCGAGTGGCTAATATGACCGTGCCTATATTATATTTCGAGTCGCAATTTTTTGTTTCTGCCACATTGGTACTTTTAGTACTGTTCTTTCTTATAGTTTATATGTCTCTATTACATTAATTTTCTGTGTGCATTTCACTTGGGTTTCAATACTAATATTATTTAGTTTTTGGAAACACTGTATTCTCCGGTGGGGTAGTAAAGATTATTATTATTATTATGACAGTGTTGGGAATGTTGATCGTGGAGCAAGTGTGATATCGCCTAAAAATATCGAGAAAACACGAACTGCGTTTCAAAATAGTCCAAGGATAACGATTAAATGAGCTTCACAACAAGTTAAAATTAATCGGGAGACTTTGCTATAAATTGTTGTTCAAGATCTGGAGCTCAAATCTCCCAGAGTGCATCCCATCAAAGAGCCTACTGGTATGAAAACCACTTTCCTGATATCTTTGATTTCAACCTTTGTGAGTTAGGAGGTCATCTAAAGCACATTGATGGCGGAGTATCTGCAATTACTTTCAAAATTTAAATAAAAGTTTTAAACTGTAGTTTTTCAAAATGTTATTGTAGATTAGCATACTCGATATAAAATATGCGAACGAATTGAATCTACTTAGCTCCTTCGACTATTATTCTTTTGCTAATTCTTTTGAGTTTTTGATAACTCAAACCACTTGTTTTATCTGACGTAGTTCTATTTTTCAGATCGTTAGTTTCGAAAACGTACCTTCACTTGTACTTGTTACTTCGCGTGTAAAAAAATATATTAATCAGGCCATTCTTTGTAGTTCTTGGACTACTCAGCATCTTTATTGATTTAAAAATTACCCCAACAAACATATTCAAGATATAACCAAAATAAAGGTAATCTTTGTGTGCACAATAGGGATAATACTAAAGCAATATGAAAGCAACGATTACAATCTGAAAGAGAATTTATTATGGAAAATTTACTGAAAATCCCTAAAGCATGATAATACAGTCCTTTGAACATTGTTAATAAGGTAGAATAGAGGCTGTAATAGATGTTGCTATAAGTGCTGATTAGAAGATAGCATAAATACTATATAGTTAGGTATTCATCAAGATATGACTTTAATTTCTTTTTCTGCAATGAGATGCTACTAATATTCTCCGCCACATAGTTCTTTAGTTCCAAGACTTTAGAGTGTTTATTATTCAAATATACTCATTTAATTATTCTCTTACAAAATTTAAAAATTTATTATAAAAATAATAAAAAGTGTATCAAGGATAAATTCATTGATGACTGTCCCAAATATCCATTAGTAAATAAACACCTAAATCGGTCGACTGTTTACCGATCGAAATCAATCTGGTCGAAATCCAAAGACAACATCTGAAGTCGGTCCATTTCCGAAAAATTGTTCAATGTTAGATTTAGTGAGATCCATCATTAGGAAATCAACGAATTTTCAGGCGCATGACGCCTCCCCCAATCGTAATGGTACGAAACGACGCCTGTCGTCTTTCAGCGTTCAGCCCCCGTTTCAGCAGTAAGCCCGCGTCCTCTGTTAACGGCGTTTACCCTTCGTATTTGGTCCCGCGCTGACTGAAATCATGACGAATGGATCTAATAGCGACTAAAATCGCCGTTGCCGTTATATTTGCTTTCATTCGAGTCTTTTTCGGTTTATTACCAATTAAAATCTACAAGATATTAAAAATATGGGAGAAAGAAGACGAAGGGGCCGCTTTTATCAACGAACGAAGACACAAGCAAGTGAATTGTTCGTTGGCGATATTTCAGAGTTTTGGTGGAGGCGTTCTATTCGCCACTTGCTTTTTACATATGATACCGGAAGTGAATAAATCGGTTCAATTTCTTTGCAAAGATAATGGAATGGGGACTTCCTATCCTTTTGCTCAAGTTATCGTTTCGACGGGATTCTTCTTGGTTTATTTCGTCGAAGAAATCTCTCATTGGTTAATCACAAGGATGGGAAGAGAAACTCGAAAAAGTATTCAGTGTAAAAGAAATTCCTGTTCTCAAAGTTTGAAGGAGAATAAGATTCACCCGGGGGAGATTAATGGTACTCCGGAACGTGTTTACATCATTGATCCCTCTCCAAAAAAAGTAATTAAATTATTATTTTTTAATTCATTTTTATTAACGGAAGTTTTCACATAACTCAAAATTATTAGAGAGACTTTATAGAAGTGAATAAAAACAGTCCATTCTTATAAAGTAGAATAATCAATCGTTTCAATTTGAAATTGGAAAACTTCTTGTCATTTTAACAAATTGCCGCTTTCGACCCATTCATGCTTCAACAAGCTATTAATTAACTTTCATGACTTAATCGATATTAAATGGAACATCGATTTTAAATAATGAAAGTGTTGTTAAAAGTGCATGTTACTCAATTAGTTTGAATCATAAATTATTTCGTTTATTAGTAAATTGTAAAATTTGGTATATTTCATTTTATTAAAAAAAAAAGTGTTGAATTTAAAAAGCCCTCTCTATCACATTTATGAAAGTTAAGAAATAATTCTTATACTAAATTAAAGCTCTAATTCTTCTTACAGAAAATATAATAATTGTTGGTTTACCATTAAAGAAAACCGATTTATTTTTAAGATTAAAATAGAAAAAGGTACCTAAGTTAAGAAATAATTCTTATGCCAAATGAAAGCTCGAATCTTCTTCTTTTAGAAACTATAACAATTACATTTGATATCACATAAAATTAGTAACATTTTGAGATAAAATCATGACCTTTCAATGAAAAAGATCGCATTTTAAAATATCTTCGATATTCATTTTTTGTATGTCCGGAACAAGAAATAGAAACAGTAATATGGATCCTTGGAAAACATTCCTTTAGTGCACCGTGACGATATAATTGTATAACCAACGTCGTTACAGGTGCATGTCGTCAAACTTCAAAGAGTCTTTGAGAAACTAAAGGAAGAAAATTTTAAGGTCGAGTTGGAAAAATGTAAAGAAATAACCTTTCTATGAAAAAGTCAAAGCTCAATTATCGATCCAAGACTCGTTAAAATAATTAAATTGCCAATTTAAAGCTTTTCTAAAATTAGTAGTCGTTACGAAACCATTTATAAAATTTACGAGAAAAATAAGAGGATTCAAAGCTTCAGTTCCTGGACTTTAATCAGGAATTTTGATAGAAGAAATGTAAGTCCAAAGACAAAGGAAAAAACTTATTATACAGTGCGAACTACTAAAGAATATTTAGATAAACAGACATTAGCTGTATATAAAACTTTGAAATACTAAAATAAAACAAAGGATTTTATATACTTAAGAAGTCCAAAATATTTTGCGCAAAGACTATAGAAATAAAGGTAATGAAAATAAGGAACTTATTAGAGGAAAAATTGTAGACAAACCACGAAAACTTAGAACAAATTTCAATACCGAATATGTGTAAAAATATTAATTAAATCAATTTTATCGATTAAATATTATTCTACACCTAAGATGATCTTAGAATCGGTAATGTATGATGTCGATTAATTAAGCCGAGGTCTTGCAGCTGGGGTCTTAAACCACGAATGTCTCACTGGGCCTACGTAACAATAATCAGAAAAATGATTGTCTATGCCTCACTAGTTTGGTGGCCAAAACTAGAACATAAGACAGCACTACAACAGCTGGGACAAATCCAGCGGTTAGCATGTCTGTAACGGGTGCAAAAGGAGACAGCTTTAAGTGCCTTATCACTGAAAACATGCTCTTCACTGAAGTTGATGCTAAACCACTTCATTGAAATTAAAATGAACCTCAGACTAATAGAATATAGTTTCGATCAGCCGTATAAGATTATATTCAAGTATTTGCTTTAACTTCTGTACCGTTTTGAACCCAGAAAACGCAGAGAAAGGTGTATCGATAAACATTTTCACGGACAGTCGAGCCGCCCTAAAGGTAATTCAGGTCTACACGTGACTCCGCACTGGTCAGAGAGTGTACCAGCAACTTGAGAGAACTCGCTAAGGGTAATGATGTTACTCTATGGTGGGTTTCAGATCACAAAGACATTGAGGGCAATGAAAATGCAGACAAGCTCGCCAAACATGCAGTGAGGATGCCTTTATTGGACCTGAACTCGGCTGTGAACTACAAAAAAGCCACTTAAAACAGGCAATCAATAGTTGGGAGGCCTCGACAGTAGCCTTACGCAGGAAAGAACTTCCAGGTCACAGACAAACGAAGAGAATGATACTTCCGTTACAAAACAAAACCAAAGAGGTTTTATATCTCAACAGAGGGGATTTAAGGTCGCTCTCAGGCTTCCTGAATGATCATGCGCCCCTGACAAACCACCTCTTCCATATTAGATAAGCTGAGGATCAAAGTTGTAAATTTTGCAACGACGAGTCAGAGACGCAAAATTTTTTTGAACAAGACCTTGGAGCAATACTAAAGCTCATCAAGGACCTACATTTGCCCTAAACCTTTGGAGGGCTTAAGTTACAATAAATCTTATAGGTCATAGCGACGCGAGAGGCCGCTTCCCTCAGCCCGGCACCAATAATAATAACAATCATGTTAAAACCAGATGTTGTGAGTGTCATTGAGGCAAATATCCTTTTTGTAGGGAATAAAGAATTCATGAAACATAGTCACGTAGCACTAGGATAAGGTAGCGCTACAATTTTTTTAACTTTTAACAAAGCAATTCGTCAAGGGTAGTTGAACTTACTTCAACGGACACTCGGATATGATTCACATTTTCAGGTGTCACCACACGGAGCGTGGTTGAAATGTGTCCGGCGACCCATATGTTATTACCAAGAAGAAATGCCACAACATCAAGCAAACAATAACAATGAACGCTCGTTTGATTTGGTTAAAGTTCCTTTATAACAAGCTGTATGAAGGTATGGAGAAAACGAGGAAACACACAGAACCTCCTCAAGCAGACATGGAGACTAATGCTCGAGCAGGATTCAGCTTACCTCAAGGAAAAATATAAAAGCATTTTAGAAGTAGAAAAACCGACAAAAGAGCAAACCAACCAAAGAATCAAAAACGTGTAAACTACCAACCACGAGAGCAGCGGTGCCTTCGGAATAGAATATGGACGAACAAATACTTACAAATAATACTTTTTATTTGTAAGTTACATACGCCATTGGAAAACACCGCTGCCAAAAGGATTCTCAGAACCACATAGATGAAAACCTATGTGCAATTGTTGACTACCCTTTACAAGATCGCATAAGCCGCAAAGACACCAAGGAAAAATGTGTGACCATATCAAAGTACATGGGCCGGATCTTCTTGACGTCCCCCAAAGAGATGTTACGCAAGCTGGTATTCAGCGTTCCAGTCGAGACTTTGAATTGTTGTATAAAGATAATGCCGAGTTCTATTATAAGAGGATGAAGAAGTGTTATTCTAGTTAATATTTACTTGTCACGGCGGTTAATGTAACTGCTCTCCATGTTGAGATCTCTTTTGTTTGTCTCCTTTGGATATTGACTATGTGTGCTATATTTTGTCCAATAAGACATAAAAGACATCTACTACGGTTTCCATATCTCCTTTCAGTAGTTCAGTGGGAATATTGTCGTTTCACACAGCTTTTTTGTTTTCTTCTTGTTGTTCCTTATTTCTTCCTTAGTGTGTTCTTGTTCGGTAACATGCCGTATATCTTTCCTCTTACCTTATTTTGCAACTCTTGGAGCATTCGTGGATCCACCCTTATAAATTGTATATGGATCTTCTACTATCCATCCAATCGAAAAAGATGGTGCTGGTGTGTGGTCCAGAAAGAACGTCGCGCCTTTATTTCTTTATGTAGGTAAGATAAAGGCGCGACGTGCTGTTTGGAATACACATCACCACCATCTTTTCCGATTGGACAGAACCCCTTCTCCCCACATGGCTGTTTCTGTTTCTTTTTAATTTATAATTCGTTTAAATCGCTCTGAAAAATTAAACTTTGAAGAGCTAATAACGGGATCCGCTAAACGCAATTATTTGACATATTTTGGGTAAAACCGCATTGAAATCCACCAAGCCGTTTACGACATAACCGCATACTACTAAACCGTAAACTGTACGGCATCCTTGGTTCTTTTATCCTTCTCTCAGGAGCTGTCCATATTATCCGATGAATAAATTTATGCCTAAATAATGTTTTTCCAATCACCAATCTAGTTACATTACAGAAGTTAATCAATCTTTCACTACTGTCATTTCTGACGAAGGCCATCACAAAGGCCATTCCCAACCCTTTTTTGGATTTTCCTCTTGCTTTCTAGTAAACAATCCTCACTTTCTTTCCTTTGTCTCTATTTATTTTGGATATTATTCTTGAAACGTTTACCCATATCTTATATAATGACAATCACTAAGAAATTTTGGTGTAGCTATGGGGAAAGAATTTTCATGGAAGTGATCTTCATCACGTCACAACAATTTCATTAATTACTAAGAAATTACTCATAATTCTTTTAATAGATATCTAAACCATTAATTAGAATAATAAAGAAAGCAGTCTCGTAAAAAAGTGTGAGCACATAGTTACTATCTAATATACATAAATTTCGTCTGTATCCGGAAGTGCAATAAAATGAGCTTTACAAAAATATCCATCAAAGTGATTTACGTGCGCAATAACTCAAAGGTTAATGGTATAATGTGTACATGCTGAAAACACGCCAACCTGAAATTTGTCAACAAGAATAAAAAGACATTCTTGTTTGCTATTTCTACTTTACATATTATCTTGCACGTGTTTTAATGTAAAGTTATTGTAAAGATAGAGTGAGATGATAACGGTTTTGTTTATTTTTTAACCACCACATTGTTCTTTTTCACTTTGCATAATAAAATGTTCATCATTATTATTTATTTGTTAATTTTAAAATTTCATGTTTCAGTCGCCACCAACTTCAGCGTCCATAGTATCAGAAAAAAATAAAAGAAACTTAAAGATAGATCTCGAATTAGACGACATTTCAAAAAACACCTTCCTTGAAGATGACGAAACCGCCGAAGAGGAAAAACAACTTGAAAAACTCCTAGTAAAGCAAGAAAAAAATCAACAACAAGTACTTCGTTGTTGTTTAGTTATCTTAGCTTTATCGTTACACGGATTTTTCGAAGGCTTAGCAATCGGGCTTCAAGTTTCGATTTCAAACATCTGGTATCTTTCGACAGCAATTTCAATACATTCAGCAACTATTTTATTTTGCGTCGGTTTGGAATTGTTAATTGCTCGAACGAAAATGAAAATAATCGTTTTAAATGTTTTCATTTTATCATCGACGAGTCCTTTTGGAGTCTTATTGGGTTTAGTTATTACTTTATATGCTGACATGAATACAACAGCAAAATCTTTAGCCGTTGTTTTATTAGAAGGATTATCAGCTGGAACTATTTTGTATATTACATTTTTTGAAGTTTTAAATCGTGAAAAAGAAAGAAGGGTTATTATACTTACACGCGCGTGTTTTATTTTAACTGGTTTTACGTTGATGGCTATATTGGAATATGTTGAATTAGGGAAATGAAATAAAAACTTAACCCTGCATAAAAAAGTGAAATCTTCCATGTTAAAAAAAAATAATATTAATATTTATGAAAAAAAAAAAAAGAAACTTTTGAGATGTTATCGAAATGTATTGATTATTTAAATGTAAAATTGCACAAGTTTTAGATAATCTCGCACCAAAACGGGTTAATATTTAATTATATCAAAGATGTTTAAATAAATAGTTCCTTAAAAATCAAAAAAATTAATTAGTACAAAACTAGTACTGCTTAAAAAAATAATTGTCTAAAAATTAATTTATTCTATTTAAGTTATTAAAAGAAAAATGAGTCTTGGAAACACTTTCTAAACGTCTCCAAACACCATTAAACTGGGTCAGATAACTTTGGTGATTGATCCATTTTTAATGGAAATGTTAAAGGTTACATTAAAATTTAAAGTTTGTTTTAAATTGAAAGCATACTTTACGTAGGTTTTATCTTGTCATATTATGTAGATTTTAAGATTGTTAATATTGTTCTTTCTCAAGTTTAATACGGTGGGTAAAACTCTGAGAAATTATAGTGTACAAACCGGAATTTCATAACTCACAAAGTTATAAGGGGGGTTTAAGAATTAATTAATCGCATTGAAATGTTAAATAATTTTCAGGAATTGCGTTAGAAAAATACTTAGAAATTTTATTAAATTAAAAATAACGTTGAAAATTATTAATCTACTTTTGATTGATGTGTATTGTCGTCTTAGTTATATTCTTATTCTTTCGATAGTTTTGATCTATAACTGATCCTCTTCCATGTCTATCGGCATATTTCACCGTGTTGAGATTCCAGTACCCTTCAATCTTTAGCCCGTTGCCTCTAAGCTTTCTGACATGACTTTAAGTCCCACTCTTCCACATTTTGATGCGCTACTCTTGCTTATTAATCTTTCCTCCGAACGGCTAAAGAGATCTGACAATTGCAAACTTTTTGAGTCTCTACAACTTTCTTGTTGCAACAAGACATAATTAACATACCCTGACGTAACACTGCATGTCTTGATCGACCTCAATCATCAATACTATACTTCATAAGTATCCGTAATAGACGTGGCTAAAAATCTTGCCATAAATCCACGTTGATACAAATATATCGATTATTCATTGATTGGAGACAGAAATGTAGATAATATCTTCGCCTATCGACGGCAACATTCTTTCTGAATTTGCTGATTTGTAGCTAGTTCTAAATTTCTTCTGATTTCGCAAGCTGATTTGAAAAAAATACGTTTTCTGATCGATCCTGGTTTTAGACAAGTGGTCTCTCCTATTTCCAAGATTTGAAAAAATGGTTCCTGCGCTGAATTGGTTTTGAAAAAAAAAACTCGCCATAACTTGAAAACCGATGTCTAGTAAAAACGTATTCTGATCTATTTTAGTTTCATATACCCAAAATATTGCTTTATCCTGGTTTTGGATAAGGAAACTTTCCTATTTTCTGGTTATACAAACCTAATAAAAATGGAAAAACAATAACTGTTTTCTTCTGTTTCATAAAACCGTTTTTGTCCATTCCTGGTTTTGGATAAGAAACATGCTCAACATTATGTACCCTTAGAAATAATTTGACATCGTGCCTGATGAAGATTACCCGGTAATCGAAACAATTGTTGCACCAAAATAAGAAAAGAAATACTTGTATTAGACACAATTTGATTAGTAGTTTCTCCAATTTCCTAATTTTTGCAAAGCTATCTCTGCTTCCTCTGGGGATAAGAGAAACGTTATCTAATTTCTTTTGATTTCGGAAAAGTATTCGCATCCCGTTGACGGTTTTGGAAACTATGATACAGCTGGTTTTGGAAGAACGGAATTTGCTTCTTTTGGTGATCTTTCCTATGTTCTATGTTCGAAAAAATTGTCTCTTGGCTAGTTTTGGTAAACGAATCATTGCTCTTGCAAAAATTTGAAAAAACGTTCTCTATACTTTCGTAGTTTTAGAAAAACCGTCTAATTTCTTTAGATTTGGAAAAAGTAGTCCCTGCAGTTTGTTAAGTTAGGAAAAATAGTCCTTTTAGGATTTGGAGAAACGGGGGATGCTAAACAAAAAGTTCTTGCAAAATACTAAAAATAAATTTTGCAAAAATTCTATGTTAGTGTAAATATCGATCGCCACCTTTTTAAAATCGCCTCCAGATATGTTTTAAAGAGGCGTAATTCTTTTTCGTCAACAAGTAACTTTGATACAGTCACCGCTTACAATTTTTAAAAAAGATTTCCTAGCTTAGCAAAAAGTAACTTCGAAAATACCTTTGCGCTTTTCTCATTAGTTTCAATTGAGTTGGTCTATTTCCTGATTTTTAGAATATCCCTCAAATTTAGGCAAAAGTACTCTGTTTTTCTTTTGATTTGGGTTAGGTTCCCAACTCTTTTTCCCCTCTTTTAAAAAATGGACCCACCTCTCTATTAGTTTTGGCAAAACGTTCACGATTCTTTCCTAGTTTTGGACTTCACTTCGTTTAGTTTTGGAAAAATGACCCCTCTATTCTGCCAGTTTTTAAGAACCTGTTTCTGGCTTCTTATAATTTTTAGAAAAACGTTCCCTATTTACTAATAATTTGAAAAACTCTGCTATCTCGACTACCTCTGCTATCACCTGATTTATGCCTACTTTGTAATGTATCCACTCTTCCACATTTTGATGCACTATTCTTGCTTATTAATGCTTCCTCCGAATGGCTTAAGAGATCTGACAACTGCAAACTTTTTGAGCCTCTCAACTTAACATACCTTGACGTAACACTGCATGTCTTGATCGACCTCAATCATCAATACTATGCTTCATAAGTATCCGTAATAGACGTGGTGTTTTCTAAAAATCTTGTCATAAATTCGCGTTGATACAAATATATCGATTATATACCACTTTTATAAGTTGGAGACAGAAATGTAGTTAATATCTTCGCCTATCGACGGCAATATTTTTTCTGAATTTGCTAATTTGTAGCTCGTTCTAAATTGCTTCTGATTTCGCAAGCTGATTTGGAAAAAATACATTTTCTGATCGATCCTGGTTTTAGATAAGTGGTCTCTCCTATTTCCTAGTTTTGAAAAAATGGTTGCTTAATTGGTTTTGAAAAAGAAACTCCTGTTCTCGCCATGACTTGAAAAATGATGTCTAATAAAAACGTATTCTGATCTATTTTAGTTTCAGATACCCAAAATGGCTTTTTCCTGGTTTTGGATAAGGGAACTTTCCTATTTTCTAGTTACATAAAAATAGTTAAAATGGAAAAACAATAACTGTTTTTTCTGTTTCAGAAAACTGTTTTTTGCCCATTCCTGAATTTGGATAAGAAACATGTTCATACATAAATATTATGTATGTACCCCTAGAAATAATTTGACGTCGTCTAATGAAGGGTAATCGAAACAATTGTCGCACCAAAATAATAAATGAAATGCTTACATTATCGTTGAGAAGGAAACACAGTTTGTTTTTATACAAAATTGGATTGGTAGTTTCTCCAATTTCCTAATTTTTGCAAAGCTATCTTTGCTTTCTGTGGGGATAAGAAAAACGTTCTCCAATTTCTTTTAATTTCGGAAAAGTATTCGCATCCCTTTGACGGTTTTGGAAAAATATAATTTGCTTCTTTTGGTGGTCTTTCCTATGTTTTGGAAAACTAATCATAAATAGGTGTAATTCTTTTTCGTCAACAAGTAGCTTTGACATAGTCGACGCTTACAATTTTTAAAATAGATTTCCTGACTAAGCAAAAACTAACTTTGAAAATATCTTTGCTCTTTTCTAATTAGATTCAGTTGGGTTGGTCTGTTTCCTGATTTTTAGAATATTCCCTAAAATTTAGGGAAAAGTACTCTTGTTATCTTTTGATTTGAGTTAGGTTCCAAACTATTCTACCCCTCTTTTAAAAAATGGACCCACCTGTCTATTAGTTTTGGTAAAACGTTCGCAATTCTTTCCTAGTTTTGGACTTCATTTCGCTTAGATTTGGAAAAATGGCCCCTCTTTTCTGCTAGTTTTTAAGAACCTGTTTCTGGTTTCTTATGGTTTTTAGAAAAATCTTCCCTATTTACTCCTAGTTTTTAAAAAGTGCTCTCTCCATTTTCTTAACTTTTAAACGGTCCATGGATTCTTTTAATTTTTGGAAGAACTACCTGTGTTATCACCTGATTTCTGTCTACATTGCAATGTATCGCACTAAATTCTGAATCGAAAGACTTTGAAATAAACTTTAAGAGGTATGGACCCAGNTGATCAATTGTGAAGACTCTCAGTGATAGCAAGGACTAAGTCCAAACTAATTCAATGCGATCTATTAATCGGGGAGGTAGTCCATATTCAGGAAAACGTCCACCAATGTCTTAATGTCCTGGTTCATTTCATGACAATCGCAGTTGGTAAAACAAACAGTACCACCTATGTAGTACAGGTTTAGGTGTAATTTATTTAAGAAAACCAACAATTTTAATTCCTCCAGGTATGGCTCTTTGAAAGTTTCTATTATAATTTCTTATACATGTTCTTATTCAAAAGCAGTAATATCTGGTTCGTAGATGGTAAAGGATTCTTTCTATTTCGTTCTAGGAGCAACATAGCAAAATCGAGCAATATTAATTGAGCTTCATCTTCATCATCCTTTTTTTGAGCAAATCTGTATAGAAATACATTGGATATCACATCTATCCATGCTTTTGCTACTCATCCAAGTCAAATTATCTAAGTTTTAAGTAATCTATTTAGCACAAAAGCATCTTTCGTCTGATCATCGCTGATATGACTCAGACGTCCAGTTAATATACCCAAAAAAGCTATGAGGTGTTGTAAATCTATTAGCTAGAGCTAGGGCATGACACGCAGAATTATGACTAAATTTAAAAATCATGGGAAGATATGTTAGTTTTGCTAATGGTGAGTCAACTGCTCAAAAAACGTTAAAAACTAAAATACTTCATCCGCATAAAGTGAATCCCCGAGCTCAAATAAGAAGATTTTATTAATTAAGGTAATATTTACAGTGCGTGGAAAAAAAGAGAAAATTGTAGCTCATTAAACTACTCAATGGGGCTTACTTAAGCTTGACCAAAGATGTACAACGGAAATGACCATTTTTCAACTTTACTTCAAAGCCAGATCTCAAAGGAATTGATTAAGATTAAAAGGTAAAAGTGAAATATTTAACATATCTAGTTTAGAGAGCAGGCCTCTGTGCTACACTAAGTGAATAGCTTTTTGAATATTCAAGCAGATTGAGTTTAGTAACGCATCAATTAGAAGTTGGTAAAGTTAGTGGATAATGCCGGGATGGTAGCCAAATTAGTAAAGACATTAAAATTCTTAAAAAATTAGTTACGGCAATAAAATAGTATGGCAAGAAATAAGAGGAGTGATAGAAAATGTTGAGATAAACATTTAGGTTAAGCAGAAGTTTATGATATTTCTCCAACCCAAAACGCATATAATTTTTAATAAATTTTCGCATTGCTGCTTGTCCATCTACTTCGTTGAAAAGTTCGTTGACTTCAAACTCAACTTTACAAAAACACAAATCTTCTTGGAGTTTCTCAAAATTTTCTATGTGTTCTTCTGATATACGCAAAAGAATAATCGAGGAACCTAAACGAAATAAAGTCATGTTGGCTAAATGAGTTTTAAATCGATCCATTAATCGTTGAAACGTGCCACCTGTATTTCTTGATCCCTCGGTATTCGTTTGGATCGAATTTTCGTCTGACCTGAATGGGGTTTTGTCTGAATTTTCTACAACAACCTTCGTTTACCTGAAACCTGATGTAAATTCCTGTGTGATCGTGTATCAACAGTATAGAATCTATGATGTTAAGTCTATGAAAAAGCTATTTCTATGATGTCATCTTGTATGAGTTTTTCATGTTATTTCTTTAACACTTCTATCTTCATAAATTCGTTTTGTATCGGATCGTCGGAGATCCATCATATTCCTTGGGATTGATCCAATTGTAACAGGACTTTAACTTAATTCGTTAAAAATTTCTAACGGAATTTCGTATATTCTAGCTTAAAAGAATTCCTATTGTCGAATTCTATTAATATTAAAAGATAAATAGAATTTAAAGCTTCGGTGTACCTATTTTTTTAAAAGAGGTTTACCCCTCGGTTTGATGTAGATTTTGTTAAATTTAAATTTTAATTCTATTTTAAGTAATAGATATTAAAAGCTTTCAACAAAATAATCTCGATCTGATATACGAAATCTGTGTGATAGTAGTTGAATTTCAAATTCTTAAAGAAAAAGTAAATAATAAATGTGTTATTTAAAGAAAAAAATGGAAGAGTTTATAATAACAAGAACCGGATGTATTTTTATCGTAGAATTGTTATTTTTGTATGTCAAATGAATAAATATAATAAATAAAAATCTAAAAAAAAATTGTCTTAAATCTGATTTTTTACTTTGAACTTGATAAACATTAAATCCCGACTAAAAATAACCCTTCTATAAATCAATATAGCCGCTGAAAGCTCATTACAAAAAAGTGTATTTCGTGTTCTATTCTTTATTCGAGTTCTTTAGAGACTCCTTAAATCCTAAATCAACTTCTTGCGTTTGATAAAAAAGAACCGAAACGATCTATGAAGTTTCCCACTAGATGGAGATAGCGCACACGCTTTTACAACGAAGAATCAATACTTTCGTAGTCCTAAAAACCAACTTGTTAGAACATCCTAAAAATACCGCTGTTTTAAATCATGTGGAAGGTATAAATAAGTTTCACTTAATTTCACACAAATTATTTTTAACTCTTTAGATTCATTTTGGATTGATTGTTTTCCTGTTTGTTATCATTTTTGGGGGAAATGAAAGTCGTGTATTAACTAAAAGAAGTTTTTCTGATCAATCCGTTAGAGGTTATTTAACAGAGGTAAGTGTATTAAAACAAAAATAAAAAAATATATAAAAAGAAATTTTAAAATATTTAGAGAATTTGTTGGTGGAATGAAGTGTGCAAGGAAGAATTTCAAAATTTATTTAGATGTAGATGCCCTGCTTGGTCTTTCTGTCGTGCCCCAGGAAGATATTACAACGCTTTTTGTTCGATGACTGCTACCGGGTATATTTGGAAACAACCCGGTTTAGATGATTCTTAGCAATAAAATAATTTCAAAAGAGAAATTAAAAATGTTAAAGTGTTCGTAATGAAATCCTAATATTGAAGTAATAACAATAAATACTGCCTGAAAGAATATGTTTTCCAATGTCATACAAACATGTTAAATTGTGATTTAAACAGTGGATCAAATTAAATCTTGGATAGCAAAAGAAAAATTATTATTAATTAGACACTGTGGATATAAATAGTGAGACTCAAGTTATGTGATTATTCAAATTGAACAATAAATAAAAATATTAATGGCAATATTTTTTTAATTTCTATGATACTTCATGTTAGTAAGAAAGTTGCAATTTAGTTCAACTTGAAAAAGTACAAGAAAAGGATTAGATACCTCAAAAAAGTATGTGTCCTTACGAAATGTAAAATTAAAACTGATAAAAATAAAAAAAAAATTAATTAATCCGTAAAATAATAATGGAACGAAGTTAGAGTGTTCCAGTTTAACCAGAAAGAATTCAGAATAAAATAAGATCAAAACCTGTAATGTAGATAACCCAAAATTATGCCCACTACATTATAGATTCCTACCCGAACATTTTAATTTCTATATTCGTTGTCGTTACAAAAGATGAAACTTTGAATTTTGTATCCTTTCTTTGAGTGTTTTCTATTCCTATTTAATTTTATTGTCATTTAGTTTTGCGAATAGATGTAGTTAAGTATAATACATAGATACGCAGAAAAAAAGTAGTATGCATTGTAAGAATTTACTACACAGTACCCATAAACAACACTAAACTTTTCACTAAAATTGCAATACAGCCTCAGCTATCACTGCAATAGAGATAAAATTATCTACGTATAACCTTAACCAACGTAATTCAATAATAATAATAATTAGGTTTTTTCAACGTGTCCTATTATAATTCAGGTATGGTTATCTCAAATTGATAGACGTTAGTAAATACGTGTAATGTGAATCATACTAAAACTGCAGAAAAACCACACTGCAGAGGAAGTGCGTTATGATAGAACAGCGATTTGACAGAGCAAAGATGATAACCAAGAAAAGCAAAAAAGTGTAAGGAAGGCAAACAAGAAAGTGTAGCTGCGTATTGATTTTCCATAGTTGCTAATTGCGGAATAGATACAAGATAGATAGTTAGTATTGTTAGTGTGGCCTGCCAAAATATAGTTACTGGAATGATAAATGGTCTGGAGAAGAATCAGATTGCGAGTAGTCATGAAATCAAAGCAGTTGTGGTGAAGAGAATAAGGAAGAATGATGTAAATTAATGAAAGGAGATGATTGAATTGTGTAGTTGTCTAAACATAACGGGAGGTTAGACCAATTTGCTTAGCTTCTCTAGTGAGCAAGGTATTAGACAAGATACTCGAAGGCCAGTTGTTGGACTTTACAGAACAGAAAACTGGATTGTGGATATATAATATAGTTTTTAGGGACCTAGACGGTGTAATTAAGGGATTATAAGATGTTGCATCATTTCCAACTCTCATCTTCAAGGTGATGAACCCTTGAAATCTGAGTAACCCTACAGACGACAGTGGATACCAACCCCAATGCGAAGCAGGATCAGAATTGACGAGAGCGCGCGAAAAAATACCAGTAACGGGTAAAAATAATACCAGTTACGAAACCCAAACGATTGCCGTAGAACTTTCTGATAACCTTTGCAACAGTAAAAATATGATTGTAAGTTCCACACAATTCCCACGTAGAAATATACATAAAGCTACGTGAATCTCACCCAATGAAAGTACAATCAATCAAATATGTAGATCATGTTCTAATAGACAGAAGGAAAGCAAGCAGTATATTGCAGGATGTTTGTGGCACAGATCATTTCTTGGTTGAAAGTCGTCGTTTCTTGGTCGCTTGGTTGAGAAGCGAACAGCGACAACAGATTAACTAATTGGTCATAGAAAAATTAAAATGTTTAAGAATACAGAAGAGTTTCCGGAAGGAAATGATCAGAAAGCTGACAGAACTACAATTAGATACACAACTAGTAAAAGAACTGTGGCACAACATTAAAATAGCGATAACGTATACTACAGAATCACTATTAGGAAAGCAAGAAAGGCCGAAAAGAGGTTCATCGTTTGATAAAGAGTGTAAGGAAGTGATAGAAGAGAGAAAAAGAGCAAATAAAAGGTATGTGCCATGGAAAACGAGGAAAAAGCGAAAAAATTTCGAAGCAATGAGACGAAGCACCGAAAAAACTGTGTAGGAGGAAAACAAGGGAACATGTAAACCGGCAGATAGAGAGAATGGAAGAGGATTTTAAAGAGAATAGAATAAGAGAGCGTACAAATACCTAAAGAAATTAAGAGCTAGGTAAACCTCTAGTCTCTATAAGAATAAGGAGGAAGAAGTGAGTGACAAACAAGGCGTAAAAGATATTTGGAAACAATACTTCTACAATCTATTGGAATCCAGACCAGAGTATGGATGAGAAGAAACTGACTCGGAAACAGAAACAAAAATAGAACCACCATCATTAGAAGAATTTATAGAATAGATTAGTGAACCGTAAATGCCCAAAAAACAATAAATCACCCGCAGCAAATAACATCATCTCCGAATTATATAAGTTATGTGATGGTGGCATTCATGCACTGATAAGTAATGTATATTATGGAGAAAAAAACCAAAAACCAAACGATTGGAGGCAAAGCATTATAGATCGACAGTTTTGTCTATTAAACGTCATTTTTTTGAAGACAACTGAATATCGACATAAGGTGTGCTACATGAAAAATACTCACAATTTTTCGAAGAATCCATAAATGCCACAAAAATAGGGGTCCTATTTAAAAATGGGAATAATTCAAGAATATTAGTCTGTCTTAAAAATCGATGATTTTTTTTAACCAATAGGAAATAACCCAAAAAACACGTTAATTAGGGATGGTACGTCAATTTTGGGACACTGTAAATTTCAAATTTATAAGCTTTCTTTCTACAAGAATATCCGATTTTTTATCGAATTGATTCCTTACTTTATGTACAGTGTCTATTTCATTTATAAAAAATGTGACAAACTTGCGTGAGAACTACCACGGAATCTCTCGAGTATTAACCTTAAGCGTAACGAAGATGCTATGAGTTGTACATCTTTGTCACACGTCATCTCAATCTGTTTCGCAAAAGTGACATTGTTGTCAATGCTAACGCCTAAGTATTTTGTAGTCGTTTCGACAACAATCTTGATACAGTAGGTAGGAAGTTTCGGAATACATACAAGAAAAGTATTAAAGACGGAGAGTAATTAAACAAACGGAAGAGAGAGTGGCAGGGAATAAATGAGTCTGTTCTCGGAAGGATTTTTTTGCCTATGAATGAAGTACAAGAAACTGCTGAATGTAGAAAAGATATGATAGAAAATATGACCAAACATACCTTACAATGGTTGCCTTCAGGATTACAACAGTTGTGTATAGAACATGGGAGATTTATGTAGATTAGTGGAAAGGATTGGTTAATGACTGTGTATTCGAATTGACATATTCTACGGATATATGGAAGGAATCGTGTATTGTGTGGTTGCCTAAACCTACCGAGAAGTCAGATTATTTTACATAGTCTCTTTGAGAAGAAAGGTATTGGACAAGGTGTTTCTAGGACGGTTGTTGGACTTTGTGAAACAGAAAACATTAATTACGAATGTACAACATGGTTTTAGAATGGGAAAGGGCATGGTTGCAGGGAATAAGTTGAAGGCTCTCGCAAGTATCGGCTTTTTGCTTATTTATACATATTATTAATTAATCATCAAAAACCGCGTTAATGGTGACTTTAAGAGACTTAGGGATATTATCAAAGCCAGGAACTTTTCGGTACTTTTGAATAATTTTGAAAAATCGAATGAACAGTTCTTCTTCAATAAAGGAAATGCCAAGTCTATCTTAAATTGTCTATCTTTTTCTGAGACATTGGAAATAAAGCGTTAACTGTGGATAACATTTTGTCGGTGTCAAATCACAATTACGCCCCTTGTGTTAACTGCAACCCTTCTAGCATCAACCCCATCATCAATTTCTATGAGAGGCTATCAAAATAAGGGTAGAGAAGGGAGGTAATACGCAAAATATCTAAAAACGAATGCGATCAAATTGGCGTAAATGTATAGACATGTGGGCTTGTCTTGCTAAGAGCAAAACTTAACCTTTAGATATTCCTTCTAACCCAGCTGAAGAGCTTCACTTCATTAGTAGTTAATAGTGTGTAACTACTGCACTACAGCAAGCTATTAGTTCTTCTGCCTACTTACTGACTACTTTGAATCAATGCCATTAAGAATCAACAGGTTATTTTCGCATCATTTTTGTTTCATCGTATCAGTACTGCGCCAGCGATATTTCATCTCAACAAGGTGATAGATTGAAACCCGACTTTATAAGTTACGGCCATTGCAGATTCGAAATGTATTTGCATGGCAACTAGAAAAGTTTTACAAATGTTAGATAATGTTTTATATCTGATAATCTCTTCCATAAAAAGAAGGAGTTTTTGGTGAATAAAATTGCAAGCAGTCTTAAGATTAAAGCAGATCATAGAATTTTTATGTAGATTAGTGGCAGGAAATGATTGATGGATATATTCGATTGGAAGTATTTCCCGATTTTTAGAAATAATCGCGTGTTGTGAGGTTGCCTAAATCTCGTGAGAGTAAACTATTTTACCTACTTTCTGTAAAGCGAAAGGTGACATGGAATTTAGAGAATAGTTATTGGACTTTGTGCAACAGAAAGCATTGATTGTGGGTGTATAAAATGTTTTAAAACAAAGTGGAGCACGATTCAATTATTGTATGGGGTGGTGGAGAGTATGATGAAGTGCAAAAAGAAAGACTGTATCGTGTAGTAATGGCGTTTAATACAATCTAGATTTCGTGTGTAGTGGGAATATTTGTGAATATGTGTATATAAAATATGAAATGTGTCTCCTCCTATTTATTGGGTTATAGGGCGGGTGAAAGCAATGCAGGAAAGCAATATAGTAGGGTATCAGGTGTAATTAAAACTCAAGCTTGTTAGTGTATATGTTACCGTCAATCTGTATAATTCAGGTACTCTATACAATGCCTAGGTAATGTATAAAATACCTGGAGTGTCTAGGCAATGTATGAAATATTATGAAGAATATTGTCCCTTAGATACTTTACCTAGGTAATGTATACAATTCTTAGGAATTACATAGAGTACCTGTTGGCGACCGGCAATGTGTAAAATAAATAGATTTTGGTCTGTATTTATCAATTTTTACTCATAATGAACTTTTTTATAATCTATAAGTTATTGTATAAAATCAAGTAGTAAGTATTAAAAACTTAGGAAACAAAATAATTCTGTAAAAACAAGACGTAGATCTACTGGCCTCTCAGAATTGAGTAAGTAAAAAAATATATTGTGACATTTTGAAGCACAGTGTTTTTTGTAAGTACATTTAATAAATCCCTGACATGTCCCCATAGATTGCAGTTTCGCAATTGTATGGAGTGTCGTTTCTTGATTAGGGACAGCTTTGTTCCTATTTCATTTAGTTCATCGTCCGTTTTTTAGCTAGTATATTGCGAGCATCGTCGTGGTGATGCTCTGTCGACTTCCGGAACAGGGATTCTTACAGTGGTACCCAATGGCACATGGGGAAATTTTCTTTCAGAAGTGTTAAGCATTTTCTGAGCTAGCTCTGTTAAATATCTTTGGAACTGATGCGGTTCTCTACAGCTACAGCGTTTTTTAAGCATAATGGTTCTAACAACTTTAGAACCATAGCCTTCTGCCATATCTTTCTCCTTCCCTGTTCTCGCCTTTTACACACATTGCCGGCTTCGCACTCGGTATTTTATAGAATACCTAGGCAAAGTATAAAATTAATAATATTTCATATATTACCTAAACGCTTTAGGTATTCTATAAATTGCCTAGGTATTGTATAGAATATCGCATTATACAGATTGCCGGTAACATATATACATAGTTTCTGGAAGTAATATCTCCGATCTGTTCCATGAAGGAGAAGTATTCTTTGATGTAAAATGTGCTGGATATATAGCAATGAAAAATACCAGACAAGTATTTGTACAAGTATAGGTAGTAGATTCAATAAATGAGATTATTGGCATGAAGAGACAGTCTTAGGTAACGTTCACTCTAAATGAAGTCTTAAAAACTAAATTCAAGAATAGGGGGGAATCCCGCATTCCCCTAGCATAGACATCACAGCGCCACTTGTTCAAAAGATGGCGCGTATTATTGAATTAAATTCATTAATTATCTTATATAAATGTGAAAGTTATTAAAAAAGTAATAAATATTGAATAATAAATATGTATTTAAAAATGACGCAAAATTCTCACCAAATTTTTTTGTCGTACCCCGAATAAATGTCTCATACCGAGCAAAATTCGTTTTGTTAAAAGAGGACGTATTCCGAATTGGACGTATTCTAATTGATATTTCTCTGATAAAGTTATTAATATTTTTTTAACAACTAAGGTTGTACAATTAATCATAACAAAAGAATGTAAGGACATTTTAATTAACACATAGGTGTTAATCAAAAAACAATCATAATTAATAACCGGAAGGTTTTTAATACAATTTCATCTTTAAAATCATCTCTACATAATGTTAATGAGATTTATCTTTTTACTTTAAAATTTTCAGATTTCTACTCAAAAATGTGGAAAACCCGATTAACTACCGCGTTCTTCTCACAATCAGTCCAGCTCATTCTGACGTCATAGGATGTAACCACAATAAAATGCAAACAAAAAATCACAACAAAAGATTACACAGTGAATAGCGAGATACAACCATAACGATGCTAATGAATATCATTTACGTATTAATTTACATACTATATAAAAAAAATATCCTTGACAATGTGCAATTGAAGTATAAATTTTCAATGATGGAGCATTTTTAGTTTTAACAATTCTATTGTTTCCATTACACAATCTACTTTCACCGCAAAACCTATTAAAGAACCACCAGCAACTAAAACAATCCGATTTCTCTAACTCCAATTTTTTAGTCTTCATACAGCGGATCGATCCGGCAAGGTTTGACCTTGATACTTCAGCTGGGTCTCTCATGCTTCCACAAAGTTTAGTCACCTTTTGCGTCCACCAGAGGTTCCTTCAGTCGTTCTCATTGTACTCGTCACACAGACGCGGTTTCCTGCGTATCGATCCTGCAGCCGCTGTTGTCGACGACGTCGGATAACTGTGTGGTTTCAGTAGCACAATGGCGTTCGTTCAAGTCGCCGCAGGTTTTCTTTTCGTCGCCGGTTTCGCGTTCTTCGCTACCGTTAATTCTTCTCCAACTGCGTTCAACGAGCGCGAAATTTACGACGAAGTCAGGCAGTTGTTGGCGTTAACTTCGCGCCAAGATGTAATGGTTGAAGGTAGTTCTCGCGGATTTGCTTCTGGCGAAGATGATAATCGGAAAGATGTTCAGTCAAAACCGGACGTACCAAAGGCTGTGAAAAATTGGCCGTTGAAACCTATTAATTTGGGACAAGTTTCTGGAGTTGCTGTTAATTCAAAGGATCAACCCGTTTTGTTTCATAGGGCTGATAGAGTTTGGAATGAACGGTTAGTATAAAAATAATATTTTTTATTAGTAAATTATATCGAGGAGAATATTTTTATTCAACATTTATTATAATTAATTACGGTTGTAAATCTATTTTTAAATCAATTTTATTTTATGTAGGTGTTTTAAAATACAGAAACAGCATATTTACATTCTAGCTTTTTTATGTGCAAGATCTGAGTCAAACATCTAATCCAATTCTAAACTAATAATAATCTTTGAAATAAATACTTAGATTTATATAAGATAATAAATATAATAATATGTGATCGTAAATGTCATACCAAAAGGATAATAAAGGTATTGACATCTTTTAATTATTGGTGGGTGTTTAGAAAATATCAACGCAGCGGGAAACCAATATCCTGAAAAACTTGTCAACCGCAGATTATTAGGCAGAAAAAAACAACCTTAATTATAGATAAACGTTTCCATGTGGTTGTAGAGATAAATTCATAGTTTATAAATGACAAAAAAATAAAACTAGAGAAAGTTCCTGCAACGCGAATTATGAAAAATCTTGAGTACAACATTTTCCTAAACCTTTTCAAAAAATTTAAAATTCGTCTTGCAGATAGAGATGCTGATAAAAATCTGAATTGGCAAAATTCCTAGAATCCAATAGTAATCATAATAATGTAGATGCAAGTATTAAAGATTTTCATGGCCTTTCCCTTATAGAAAAGAATTAATTTCTTGATGTATAAAAAATAATTATAAAAACAAAACGAAATCCATCTAGTATTTATTGTAATTTGGTCAATCCTGCCAATCAATGTTAACAATTTTTCTCCATTACAATTAAATTAAACGCCCTAACCTACACCTTCATAACTTATTATGCCCATAAGACATCAAGTTACGGTCTTGGATGAATGGATAGAACACTGAAAATAAAACTTCGAACTTAAAAATGCAGTCAAGTTCACAAAGTATTAATTACAGCGAAGAAGAGATTAAAGCCGAGCTGTTACAAATGAGACCTTCAACACTAATTACGTGCATAAAAGATCAAGTAACGGTCTCCATTGTAGCAGATAATTTCGTCCATGTCCCTACATTACCAGAAATAAAACGGCGAAGCCTTGGCAATCAATTGTTATGTCCAAACAAAATCACAAAGTATTATTTTCAGCAGGAAAAAATTTTAGCCGAAGCAACTTGCCATAACTTTGACCTTCAACAGTTATTATGTCCACAATACATCAACTTTCGGTCTTAGTTACAGCGCTTCGCAATTATTACAAAAATGTTTTAATTAGACGCGATCAAGATGACAAAGTATTAATTGCAAGGACGAAGAGATTAAAACCGAGGCTGCTTGCAACCAAGGTGTTTCTATTGAGACCTTCAACACTCATTATGTTCAGAAGATATATCTTGACCTCAATATTAGCCGACAATTGCGTCCATTAAGATTCAAGACTTATTATATCTACAAAGCAGTGTTACGGCTGGATGCAGCGACCTCGGCATCTATTATCCTCCAAAATTAAGTTTAACAAAATCACAAAGTAATATTTTTAGCAAAGAAGCGATTAACCGAGAGACCATTAAATTAAGTTATCTATATATAATTAAGTCTTAGTTGCAGCGTCGGGGCCGCAAACGACATTGGCATCAATCTCTGCATTACTTTCAGCATTACAAATTCTTTCTACTGCTTCTTTTTTCTGTTCTAGTTTTCATGTTCTTCTCTCTTCGAGTCTTGTTGGTGCACGTTTACAATATAAGATCTAGCATATTAACCATATATTTAGGTTAACAATTTTTTTTCATTACAACGAAATGTCACAAAAAAAATATTTTATGATATACTGCTATGTAATTTTCAGGATATATAAATGTTATCATATATTTTTCATGATGAAATCCGATTTTCAAAATCCCGTTTTATTTCGGAGATAAATATTTTTTAAGCAGGAGATTTTGATCAATCTCGTTAACACCTCGAACGGTAAATTTAATTTCCAGGATAGGATTAGGGACTGTTGAAACAGCAATCCTATTTTCACATGCCAATATTTCGCTTATATATTTAAGCTTCTTTAGGGCTTGAATTTAAATTGTACTAGAACCAGCGATAACATCCTAAATTTAATGCTAGTTTAATATATTATATTTTTTATTTATAAATAAATATATTTATCTACGACTGCTTGGATAAGTCATCATTATCGCACTCATTTGAGGTGATTTGAATTACGTAATGAAGTTCATTACCGCACTGGTTTCATTACGTAACGCATTTTTAGCCTAATCAGAACAGACTTAATTTATTGAAACGAGCAACAATACAAAAGAAAAAGTGCTATCTACTTACAGAGAAACAATACTATTTATTATAAACATTAATTGTTATGTTTTTACATTTCAAAACACTTATTCCAGATGAGTAAACATGTTGTTGAAACTGACAATTCAAAATTGTCAACAATCATTTCAAAATATTTTTATAAATGTCAAATAGACTTTTTTAAAGAAATTGATTTTTTAGTAATTTTTAGCAGTCGTAGATAAAATGCTGTATATCACACGTGGGCTAGAGCATAATTACAGTACTCGTGTGATTACACGACTCGGTCTACGACCTCGTCGTGCAATTCTCCACACTCGTACTGTAATTATGTTTCTAGCCCACTTGTAATATAAATAACTATTATATACGACTGCTTGGATAAGTCATCATTACCGCACTCATTTGAGGTGATTTGAGTTACGTAATGAAGTTCATTACCGCACTGGTTTCATTACGTAACGCATTTTTAGCCTAATCAGAACAGACTTAATTTATTGAAACGAGCAACAATACAAAAGAAAAAGTGCTATCTACTTACAGAGAAACAATACTATTTATTATAAACATTAATTGTTATGTTTTTACATTTCAAAACACTTATTCCAGATGAGTAAACATGTTGTTGAAACTGACAATTCAAAATTGTCAACAATCATTTCAAAATATTTTTATAAATGTCAAATAGACTTTTTTAAAGAAATTGATTTTTTAGTAATTTTTAGCAGTCGTAGATAAAATGCTGTATATCACACGTGGGCTAGAGCATAATTACAGTACTCGTGTGATTACACGACTCGGTCTACGACCTCGTCGTGCAATTCTCCACACTCGTACTGTAATTATGTTTCTAGCCCACTTGTAATATAAATAACTATTATTTATATATACCGGGAATTTCATATAACTCGCAATACATTAATGCAGTAACTATAGTTACGAAGCTACTTGCACTGTCCCACATAAAATGCAACCTAGCTTAATAGTACGGGCATTGTGTAGTTTTACTTGGAAAAGGTGACGTCCTTATGATAACTCTGCATTTTCGTCTTAAGAGACGCACGGCTAAACCCGAAACTGTCTACTGTTAGTTTTAGTTTTAATTGTTCTTAAGCGCTAAATTGTTGCCTATTTTTACTGAAATAAAAGTAGAACTAACACTAGACCTAGAACTAGAAAGATTCGGATTTACCCGCACGTCTCTCAAGACGGCTAAACCAGAATGATTCTCGTTCTAGGTCTAGTGTTAGTTCTACTTTTCGTTCAATAAAAATATACCACAATCTAACGCTGAATAACAATTAAACCTAGAACTAGAAATATTCGGATTTAGCCGCACGTCTCTTAAGACGGCTAAACTAGAATGATTCTCGTTCTAGGTCTAGTGTTAGTTCTACTTTTCGTTCAATAAAAATATACCACAATCTAACGCTGAATAACAATTAAACCTAGAACTAGAAATATTCGGATTTAGCCGCACGTCTCTTAAGACGGCTAAACTAGAATGATTCTCGTTCTAGGTCTAGTGTTAGTTCTACTTTTCGTTCAATAAAAATATACCACAATCTAACGCTGAATAACAATTAAACCTAGAACTAGAAATATTCGGATTTAGCCGCACGTCTCTTAAGACGGCTAAACTAGAATGATTCTCGTTCTAGGTCTAGTGTTAGTTCTACTTTTCGTTCAATAAAAATATACCACAATCTAACGCTGAATAACAATTAAACCTAGAACTAGAAATATTCGGATTTAGCCGCACGTCTCTTAAGACGGCTAAACTAGAATGATTCTCGTTCTAGGTCTAGTGTTAGTTCTACTTTTCGTTCAATAAAAATATACCACAATCTAACGCTGAATAACAATTAAACCTAGAACTAGAAATATTCGGATTTAGCCGCACGTCTCTTAAGACGGCTAAACTAGAATGATTCTCGTTCTAGGTCTAGTGTTAGTTCTACTTTTCGTTCAATAAAAATATACCACAATCTAACGCTGAATAACAATTAAACCTAGAACTAGAAATATTCGGATTTAGCCGCACGTCTCTTAAGACGGCTAAACTAGAATGATTCTCGTTCTAGGTCTAGTGTTAGTTCTACTTTTCGTTCAATAAAAATATACCACAATCTAACGCTGAATAACAATTAAACCTAGAACTAGAAATATTCGGATTTAGCCGCACGTCTCTTAAGACGGCTAAACTAGAATGATTCTCGTTCTAGGTCTAGTGTTAGTTCTACTTTTCGTTCAATAAAAATATACCACAATCTAACGCTGAATAACAATTAAACCTAGAACTAGAAATATTCGGATTTAGCCGCACGTCTCTTAAGACGGCTAAACTAGAATGATTCTCGTTCTAGGTCTAGTGTTAGTTCTACTTTTCGTTCAATAAAAATATACCACAATCTAACGCTGAATAACAATTAAACCTAGAACTAGAAATATTCGGATTTAGCCGCACGTCTCTTAAGACGGCTAAACTAGAATGATTCTCGTTCTAGGTCTAGTGTTAGTTCTACTTTTCGTTCAATAAAAATATACCACAATCTAACGCTGAATAACAATTAAACCTAGAACTAGAAATATTCGGATTTAGCCGCACGTCTCTTAAGACGGCTAAACTAGAATGATTCTCGTTCTAGGTCTAGTGTTAGTTCTACTTTTCGTTCAATAAAAATATACCACAATCTAACGCTG